GTTTGAGAAAAGGCAACTTTTACCTTTGTAAATAGTCCCACATTGAAAAGTGAATTGGATTGTAAGTGGTTTATAATGGAACACTCCTTATTAGGCTTTGAATAGTGTTTTTGGGTTTTGTGGGCTTTGCATAACACACGCGCGCACGCCCGCCACGCCACGCCTCGCCGCAACGCCGCGCCGCGCCGCGCCGCGCACACACGCCGTTTTTCCTCTCAAGCTTTTATTTTTTGCTCGTTTTTCACAAGTTTGTAACGGTTGTAAGAATTATGACAACGTGGTAACGGGTACGAGATCTCTGTGAAATGTGAGCGTTTCATTAGCAACAACTAAGAGTTATGGAGGCTATATAATCAGCCCAAGCCCCATTCGGAGATATACACAACAAGCCCTCCCCTCTCTTCTCAAGAGCTTCTTCCATTCTCTTTAAAATCATTTGCTATTTATTTTATTTTATTTTTCGGGCAACCATATTGGTCTGAGCAGAAGCTCTGCTACTCTCGCCCGAGTACAGAGGCCGGCCGTTTCTGGGGGCTTTTACCGCTAGGGGGAGAGGATCAACTACGCCAGGGCGATAGGCGGGTCCTCAATAGGCGGGTCCTCAATCTTCTAAGGCAGTGAAATCACGACTTCTATCTGTATCAGGCCTGAATTTCTTACACTTCTATTTTCGTATTTATACTAATAATTTGATTTTTGACAACAAGACATTACCTGCATAGAAAGATCTTTAACTCATAATTACTCTTTCTAATTTATAAAAAAAGTTACATGATTTCGTGTGTCCAGTAGTACAAATCTTGTTGTATCTTTATTACACTAACTGTTTGTGATAGTAATAAGGAAAATGATTTAAGGACCCAAAATATGGGATCAATGGAGGGGACAGGTGAGGTGTCCCTTCCCTATTGCATAATGAGTTGGTCATGCCAACTCATTATGCAATAGGGAGGGGACACCTCACATGTCCCCTCCATTGATCCCATATTTTGGGTCCCCGTAGCAGCACTCTAGTAATAAAAGAGCATCAATAATGACAATCATAGAGAGGAATAATTGGTCCCATAGTTTTGGATACAAAATTAAATTTCCAACTAACTTGATGACTTCTCTAATTCACCTTTCAACTCATTTTAACCCGTGGAATGCTTAAGGTGGGCGTTACTTCATGGGAGCAGGACTCACCTCAGCGTTGATTCCGCGTGGAAGATGATGCGTTTATTACTACGCACGTAGACCGCAGCTTACGCTTGAGAGACAGCGTTGTGACAGTGCAACAATTAAAAAAGAACCTGTATCGAGAAAAGTCAGCGACATTGAGATCCACATGCTTAAAATTATGCTTTTATTCAATTCAATTATTTATTTATCTGGTTTTTATTTTCCTGCTTCGAAGTCCGGTTTATTTTGAGATGTATTGTTGTCAATTTTATCTTATTAGCTTGCGTATAAATCCGAAAAAATAAGTTCAATAGAAAAACTGGCTTGATACGGGTAGCAGTCGCGCAAGGCACTGCCCTAAAGATTGATGATTTGCCTATCGCCCAGCCACAGTCGATCCTCTCTCCCTAGTGGTAAAAACCTCCGGAAGCAGCCGACCTCTGTACTCAGACGAGAGTATAGAGCTTCTTCTCAGATGAAGACGTATGCCCAAAAGAAAATAAATAACAACATAGATTTTAGAGAGGGAGGAGTTTTCGGTTCTTAAGAAGTCAGAAGAGAGAAACTTTTCTTTTTCGTGAGTGTGTTTTTCAAACTGAGTTAGAGGCAGTATTTATAGGGTTTTAGAAACCCTAAGCTATTGAAACTCCCCGCTTAATCCAAGCCACGTTCGCTAAATTCGCGCAGCCGTTTAAACTTTCCGCAAAACTCAGTGCACGTTCTCCAAAACATACGCGTGATCTAGCCATTGCTAATTGCCGAGTCAAAAAGTAAAAGGAAAAAAATCAAAACGAAAATTCAAAAAATGGCGAGGCGAGCGGGTGCGCGTTATCTAAAGCCCAAACAAAATGAATGTCCAAAACACCCCCCTTGGGACCCTCAAGAAGTAAAGAGAAGAGAACCAATTTAAACAACCACCCATACACTAAATTAGGCGATGTGGGACTATTGTTTGAAGGCAAATGCCTTTTATCCCTCTACTGTGCACAACACAGCCAACATGTAAAAAATCAGATACCAATTGGAATTTCAGATACCAGAAAGATTTGGAAAAAAATCATAAATATATTAGATCCGCTCCGATTGTGATGGCTGTGATTTGGATTTTGTTGGGACTGTGTGGCATTTAAGGTTCACGCACATTTCTAAAGACTAATTAAGATTAATTTGCAACTAACAAAAAAAATACACATGTATTGAAGAATTATTTTCCTTGTATGCTCTTAAAACTATGAAATGTTCTTTCTTCATAAGAACAAAAATTGGAAGCATTAAAATAACACATTATCATCGTTTTAGATTTTTTTTTTATTTAAAAATTGTATGTAAAAGTAAAATGTAAAAAGTTCAATGTTGAATTTAATGCACATTTAATAAATGCGGAAATCATTTTGTAAAGAGAATGAAAGAAGGAATGGAATGGATTGCATGTGGGAATGGAATGGTCAGTCTCATTCTCTTGTTTGGGTGCGTTCGTAGAATGAAGCTAGAATGGAAATCTCATTCCCATTCCCATGTTTGGTATCACTAGTACACAAGTGAGAATGAAATCTCATTTTCTAATAATGCCCTTACAACAACATAGATTTTTAATAAGATAAAAAATAAACATTAATGATAATAACTAAATAATTTTATATACGCATATGTTATATTAATCTAGGTATGTGTTATACTAATGCTCGTGTTATCCATCAGGTGTATGTTTCGTTTATATTTTTTAAACAATACTCGCTATTTCTTAGTCTTAAAAATTAAAAAAAAAATTAAAAAAAAGATTATCGTATCTTCCATAGGTCCAAAAAAAAGAATGATATCCACAATCCACAGTTCTAGATATATAAATTAACTTATTTGATAAAGTATCAAAATCACTCAATTCATAATAGCAAAAATCCATAAAACAATACCAACTAAAATAATAAGTTTCGAAATAGCAAAATGATATACTAGCCTAAATTGTCAATCTAAAATTGCCCACTTGCATAGCGCCTCACCCAAACATTTTTTATTATTAATATGGATATAATTGAAAAATACCTAACTAGTTTTTGATTCTCACTTGAATGGGAATGACCATTCCTTATCTTCTCACTTGGAATGTTCATTCCCACAAATAGTGGGAATGATCATTCCTAGGGAATGGTCATTCCAACATCTAAAATATAGGTGTGTTTGGTATGAGGGAATGAGAAGTGGGAATTACATTCCATTCCTCCTTATTCCCGCGTACCAAACGAGGCGTTAAGGTTCACGCACATTTCTAAAGACTAATTAAGATTAATTTGCAACTAACAAAAAAAATACACATGTATTGAAGAATTATTTTCCTTGTATGCTCTTAAAACTATGAAATGTTCTTTCTTCATAAGAACAAAAATTGGAAGCATTAAAATAACACATTATCATCGTTTTAGATTTTTTTTATTTAAAAATTGTATGTAAAAGTAAAATGTAAAAAGTTCAATGTTGAATTTAATGCACATTTAATAAATGCGGAAATCATTTTGAAAGTGGAAAAGAGTAAGACAACTTTTTTTTGGGTAAATGAAGAGTTTTATTCATTTAACCGTATGGGAAGTTTATGTACATCAGAACTCAAATACCGAGTAAGCTACAAAAAAAACTTAAGAGGAAAAACAACATAAAGGGAAATAACCACCCAACTAACTATTTCCAAAAAGATCCAAACCTGGGAGCCATCTGAAGTAATAAAGAAAGAAACCAGTCCTTGTTCTCAGCAGGTATATTGCTATTAAGTATTATTGTCATCAAATCCACCTTAATGATTTTGATTAGCTGCTCTATTACCCTGTATTTCTGGTTGAATGTCCTCCCATTGTGCTCCAACCAAATGTTATATATAGAGGAGGAAAGAGCCATTCTTTTAATTCTATGCTTGAATCCCTTCCCCCGCAGACTGGAACTATACCGGTTTATTAACTGGTTCCAATCACAACTCCTCTATTTAAAGTGTAGCCAATCCATGATTCTATTCCAAATTTCTTTAGAGTAGTCACAGTCAAAAAATAGATGGGTTCTACTTTCAGCTACAGTTCCTGAGCATAATATGCATTGGTTGGTTTGAATGACACCTCTCCTAAGCAATTTATCTTGGGTTAAGAGCCTGATTTGAACAGCTAATCATGCAATAAAAAAATGCTTAGGGTAGTTTACCCCGCGCCCCTAGATTGTGATACACCATGACACCTTGCTAGTGCAGGGGATAAGGCATGATACAGGTTCGAATTCGAGAGCTTGATTTTGGAATTTTTGCAGCACGACCTGATTAATTCCATTAAGTTTTCAACTCCACCACAATGATCAAAAGCTTTATTTTTTATTTTTAAGAGTTGTTTCCACATCCAAGAATCTCCAATTTTTGTTTACACTTGCCATATATTCATGTGTTTTAGATATGTACCATGAATCCATTTGATCCATAAGCATTCCTTATTTAAATGAATATCCCAGAGTGTCTTTAAAGCTGCTGCATAGTTCCATATGATTGAGGAGAAAATCCCCAGGCCTCCATACATTTTTCCCGTGCATACTTTGTCCCATAATACCAGTGGTGTCTTGAAAGCTTGATCATTTTTGCTCAGAGAAAGTTTCTGCAAAGTTCATCTACTTTCTGTAGCACTTTAATTGGTAAAACATAGCTGGAAGTCCAATTAATAGATTTGAATGCCAAGGATAACACTCTTTATTATCTGTATTCTGTCGGCATATGACAAGTTCCTAATTTTCAAGCATCTTTAAAATTGGTTGGAGATTTTGTTGAAGAGGGGGTTGAAATCCTGGAAAGTGAGCCTCTTGCTGACTAAAGGAACACCTAATTATCTGATAGACGTAATCCCCTCAGAAAATCCCAGATATTCTTTAATAGTATCCTTGATAGGCTCAGCCACTCCTCCATAGAAGATGGCATATTTGTTTGGATTTGCTTCAAGCCCAGATACCTCACTAAAACTAGTGACATGTTGGTAGATCTTCTGAATTGAGTTAAGAAAACCTTTGCAAAATAACAATAAATCATCCACAAAGATCAAATGAGTGACTTTTAGCCTTCCACACTTTGGGTGAAAATTAAAATTTCTGTCCTTTTTCAGTAGATCAAGACTTCTTGAAAAGTACTTCATTCCCAAGATGAACAAATAAGGGGAGAGAGGATCTCCTTGCCTTAGACCTCTTTCACCCTTAAATTATCCATGAAGAGAGCCATTGAGAGAGATGGAGAATTTCGGAGATAATATAAAAGTCATGATCCAGTTGGTCAACATACTATTGAAACCCAAGCCTTTTAGCATTTCCTCAATAAACTTCCAGCTAATGGTATCGAAGGCTTTTCTATATCAATGTTAATCATGACTCTAGGTGAGATGTGTTTTCTGCCATAGTTTTTAACCAGTTTATGTGCTAGAAAGATATTATTAGCAATATGTCTATCCTTTACAAAAGTACTTTGGGCATCACTGATGAGATACCCCATTATTGGTTGTAACCTATTAGCAAGAATTTTTTATATCACTTTATATAGGCAATTGCAGCAGGAGATTAGCCTAAAGTTAGAGGGAGTACTAGGACAATGTACCTTAGGGATAAGAGTGATGGATGTAGAGTTAATAGCCCCCAGCAACTTTCCAGTTTTGAAATAAACCTCAATTGCTAGTGTGACTTCATCTCCTATAACAGACCAAGCAGACTTGAAAAACGAAGCTCCATATCCATCTGGATCTGGAGATTTGTTATCTGGCATGGAGAACACTGCTCTTTTAATTTCCTCCTTTGAAACTGGTGCAGATAAACAATTGTTGAAATTATGTGATAACAACCCAAAGTTAAGAGGGAGATCATACAACAACCCTAACTAGGGCTGTTTGTTCGCATGGAAACAGCTAAGAAGTAGCTGAAGAAAAGGAAGTAGTTGCTATTTATGCTACTTTTAGTATGTTTGTTTCTATGAAAAATCTATTTTCGATATTTTATTAAAAGCTGCCCCAGTGCCTACGCATCATCTCTATTTCTTGAATCTTTTTCCTCCCCCACAAGGCTTCAAAGTACCTTATTGAGTCAATTTAGGAATAAAATTATTATTCCTGGCTAGCGATTCATTCCAGACTTTTAACAAGAGACAGATTATGCAGGCTGGGGTTATTGGATACAAACCACTGTGTTCTCTGTTCAAACTTCCAGGTGGAAACATGTGCACATCTTTTCTTCGCATGTCAGTTTTCAGCAAGTGTGTGGAACAAGGTAATGGCATGGATAAATTTTTCTTGGAGATCATGTGATTGGTGTCAGCTTATTAGGTGGTACAGCTGCAGGCTCAAGGGGAAAGGATTTATGCACAAATTAAAAAGATTGGTCTTCTCGGCAACAATTTATATGATTTGGCAAGAGAGGAACATGAGAATTTTTCAGTCCAAAGCTAGAGAGTCTGAAAAGGTTTTCCGTGCAATCAAAATCTCCATTTATTCAAAAATTTTGAATGACAATCTTCCTCTTCAAATGAAGGAGAAGCTTGAAAGAATGTAGTTTTTTCTTCTTGTTTACCGCCAGTCATTTTCTGGTGTCTGTGATGTAGAAAACGTTCATATTTGGTTTGATGAATAAAATTTATTTTCATTGACCAAAAAAAAAATTATTATTATTTGTGGCTAGACTCTTATTTTAAATAAAATTCCAAAGATGCTCGTTCTCTCATCTTAACGGTATTTATAAATGCTACCAAACAAAAAAGAGTGAATGAAGTTAAAAAATTAGCACTATTTTCTCTACTTTTAAGAATTTATGAAACAAACAGTAAAATAATAATTTCGCTACTTCCTACTTCATAATTTTAGAAGTAATAGATTTGATTTACTTCTTATTTATGATACCTTATATCAACCAAAAAGGCCTAATGGGGGATCACAAAGCCTCTACCTATTTGAGACTCATTCTAACAGTAAATTGTTGTTGAGGATTTTTAGTCCTCCCTATTACAATCTCTAGAATTTAGAACCAATCACTATCAATAAGATAGAAAACACTCTCAATTAAGAATAAGAACACTAAGATTTATGTGGTCAGTCGATCAATTTTAAATTACATTCACAGGATGATAATATGAGAAAATCCACTATGTACTAAGAAAATCGACAAGAGGAATCACTCAACTCTCATCTCCAAATCTCTCAACCGCACAAACACAATCAACCGTTCGTACTCTCTCCAAAACCATCCTCACAATCTTTTGAACGGATAAAGACGGTGAAAACCTCTCTCAATCATCTAATCTTTTTACACGGATAAAAACTACGAAACTCTCCTCTCACGCACTATTCTTGAAACCAATTTACGCCCTCTACTAACCTAGATTAGAAGAACAGCGGCGATCTCCTTCTCTCCTTCCTTGGTTCTCACCCTCAATTCTAATTCTGTATAATTTGTCTCTATATGAGCATAATTTCATGCTAAGTAGCCACTGATTTATCATCTCCTCCTCCTACAGTCATTAATCTCTAAACGAGCTGACAAGGATACAGGGCTCGCAGCTGAGGAGACAAACAGACCGAACTCCTCCAAACCCTAGAATGCGTCCTCAGAATCTCCCTCCCCCTCTCCTTCGTTTTACAGCTTCGCCACTGCTCCCACCTGCATCATCTCCTGGACCACCGCTGCCGTCGCTGAGTACCTAGCCACCGACCACAGAACCCTAACTGCCCTCTCATTCCCCGTGGCCGATACCCTCAGTATCGATCTCGACACCGCCGCAATCCCCGCCGCATGCTTCACAATCTCGGCTCTCCCTTCAGCGCAAGAGCTCAGTTTGTCCAACACAACGAGAGCCATCTCGTTAACTCTCCTCTCGTTCTCGCAATCGATCAGGATCTCGATCAGCACGTGCACTGCGCCTGAGCGAGACGCTTTGATCCGGTTCCGTCCCCACGAGCAGACACCTATTAGGGTTTCGAGGGCCGATTTTGTCGCCTTGATCGAGATTTTGTCTCGAAGTATCTTCACTACTCCGAGGAAGAGATCTTCTCGCACCGCCATTAATCGAGCTGGTGAAATCACTTGGACTATCGATTTTAATAGAATCAAGGCGTTGGTTCTTGATGTATGGTTCGATTGATTCAATATCTTGGTTAACGAGTCGATGAGGTCGTCGAATCTTGAGACAAGATCGATGAGCGCTTGATCGGAGATCTGAAGCTTGCTTAGAATTTCGAGCGCTTCATTAACTGAATCGTCACAACCGTTATTATTACCGCTAATGCTGACAACAGAAGCCAAGAACTCGACTGCTTCTGAGTTTTCGATGCAGGATCTATTTATCTCGCTCTCTGACGCTATCGACTTAAGCTGTTGTAAACAGCTCAGCTGAAATTGCGTCGAAGACCGAGCTTTGTCGACGATCCTGGCAATGTGGGCCCGGTCGATTGGCTGTCGAGGTGTCGGGACCCGCTCGACTGCGTTGGCGACGCACCAAGCTTGGATTAGTCGCCGGAGGGTGTGGTTCGGTGTCAGATCCCGGCTAGAAAGCAACTGGTTGGTGACCGGACAGGTGTCGTGCTTTCCGGCGAATATCCATTGCTGGATGCTGCTGCGGTCGTAGGTGATACCGGTTGAAAGGGTCACCGGATCTTTCATTATCTGGTATGAGATCGGGCAAAGGAAATAGGACGGGATCTCATGCTCAGCCATTGATTAATGAAGAAGTTTGGATAATTTTAATGGCATTTCGGTGAAGGGATGGGGGTTTTATAGTGAGAGGTTGATTATTTTGAGGAGGTCAACGCGGCGCATGGGCAATTTAAGGGGCGAGAAGGCAAGCGCTTTGACTTAATTAATTAATTAAATTTTGTGAAGTTTGAAATTTCTTTAATGGGGTAATTAGTCTAAGGATGAGGATTGGTATTCACTGAATCAGCTCATTAGAGCATCTCCAACAGCTTCCCTAAAATTTTCTCCAAAATGGAGAAACAAAAGTCATATTCTCCAAATTATTTTTGCTCCAACTCCAACAGCTTCCCCATTTTGAAAAATCGCATTTATTACAATAATAAAGCTCTCCCCAAAAATTTGGAAAATGCTGCAGATTTGGGGAAGGCTCCCTATTTTTTCTCCTCCTTCCCTATTTTGGGGAATGAGATGGAGAATCTGTTGGACAAAAAAAAAAGCTCTATATTCTCCAAATTTGAGTATTTCAAGAAGATGGGGAAGCTGTTGGAGATGCTCTTAGTACGTGTAAAATTGAAGTTTGCTTCTCTTCAGAGAGAATTTGCTTAGTTCTTCTTTTCTATCATTTGACAGTTCTATTATTTTGGAAATTTTAATGTTGTAATTATTTTTGGGCTTTGAGTTTGATGTTGGTGTGATCACCATGACGTCGGTTTCAACTTTCTTGGTCATTTTTCTAGTCTAATAATGCAAGTTGATGAGGATGGAAAGAAAAATTCTTCAAGGACCCAAAATATGGGACCAATAGGGGGACAAGTGAGGTGTCCTCTTCCTATTAGATAATGAGTTGGTCATCATTAATGATGACCAATTCATTATCCAATAGGAGTGGGACACCACATTTGTCCTCCTTATTGATCCCATATTTTGGGTCCCTGTAGCAAAGCTCGGATGGAAAATATGAAGTACTGCTGTAGTGTAATTGGGATTCCAATATTCGACACCCTACATTGTATAGAAATTCTGGTTTCAACTCTGGTTTCAACTACAGATTTTTTCCATTGTATCTCCTATAATGAAACTTAGTGCAACATAATATATGTTTGAAATTCATTTTGCTTTTATCTAAATTGATAGAAACCATTTTATTTTTTAGTAGAAACCACCTTTAATCTGGGATACTTTTGCAATGTCACAATGCGGCGCAATTTCTGCTTAAAAAAGACACAGGATGATATCCATAATACCCTCACTTAATCCACATAAAAAAGGTGTTATCTATCCATTTGAGTAAAAGTAAACACAGATTCCATGTAAAAGCCCAAAAAAATAATGTGTTCTCGAGAAAGACAAACTTGACTGATGTCCACAATAGAGTTAATATTATTAACGGTTTTTCTATAGAGTGCTCATGGATACTCTATAAGAGATGAGAGATATAGAGAGAAATGAATAGCACATGGACCTCCCTGATCTGTATTAATTTTTGTGCATAATTTATTTCTCTCTATCTCTCTCCTCCCTTATAGAGTGCTCATGGGCACTCTATAGAAAAACCGTATTATTAATCAAGTGCTCACATATTGTTGTACACTGATCAGATTTTTCAATGTATTGTGATTGTACAAATGAGAAAAGTAAATTGGTTGTGAAATTTGCTTATGTTAATGGATTAAATATTATATAGTTCTTACTTGAGTCGGACTAGCTTGGTAGAAATTTAAATTAATTTGATGTTCACGAATAAGTTTTGAGTTGAAAACAATGTTGGTGGTTACACAAACCAATGAATTGATTCAATGAATTGATTCAATGAATATTATCGTCCTTTATGAAGCCCAAAATGCTTTTGTCAAAGGTAGACAAATAACAAGTAATATCTTGTTAGCACATGAGTTAGCTAAGGACTACAACAAGAAGCATATTTCCTCTAGAGTTATGTTAAATGTGGATATTAAGAAGGCATTTGACACTATCAGTTGGAAGTTTTTGAATGATATGCTCAAGGGCTTGGGCTTTCCTACAGTGATGATTAACTGGATCATGTCCTGTATATCTAGTCCTAAATATTCTATTTCTATCAATGGATCTCTTCATGGCTATTTCAAGGGTGAGCGTGGCCTTAGACAGGGTGATCCTCTCTCCCCCTATCTTTTTATTTTGGGAATGGAATATCTCTCGAGGGATTTAGATATGCTCAAGAATGATAAACTCTTCAAATTTCACCCCAGGTGTGGTAAGTTCAAAATCACCCATCTGATCTTCGCTGATGATTTACTTCTCTTCAGTAGAGGAGATATATACTCAGTGGGAAAACTGCACCAGTGTATTAGAAATTTTAGCTATATCTCTGGTTTGGAGGCAAATGCAAGCAAATGCTCTATCTTTTTTGGTGGTGTAGATGATAACATTAAAGCCTCTATCTCAAATCTCCTGGGTTTTAATGAAGGAGTATTTCCAGTTAGATATCTTGGAGTCCCTTTAGTGTGCAAAAGGATTTCCTATGAGGATTGCAGCTCCCTCATAAACAGAGTTTCAGGACAGCTTCATAACTGGGCA